AATTTGAGACAACACATCCTAATTGTTTCACCATGACATCTCGGACCACTTGCATGTGTTGCAGTGGATGATGATTGATACTGAGCAAAGCTTGGGTTCCATACAGTGGAATCAAGCCATTGGAAGGCAGTAAAAAAGATGAAGCAGCAGCCAGTACTCCTCAAATTTGCTTGACATTTGCTACACAGCAGAGATTTTGAAGCTTCTTCTCATACAGTCGCCGACATGACAAAACTGACTGGCCCAAGCTGCGTTGGGTTTATGACGTCTATTTGGCTTTGCTGCGAGTTAGCCTGATGGGCTCTTCAATGTCGTCTCCAGCACGGGCTCCACCTCAAGTGCGGAGCATTCTTGCCCGCTGGATTGCCACAGCGGAAGCTGGTCAAGTGCTGGAAGATCATGTAATTAGCTTTGAGAACGGCCGGATTTTGTCAATTCTGCCAAAGGCAGAGTTTGGCTCCCAGCCAGACTTGCATTTGCCGACTCATGTTCTGATCCCTGGATTGATCAATGCGCATACCCATACGCCAATGTCACTCCTGAGGGGATATGCAGACGACCTGCCCTTGAACGAGTGGCTTTTTCAGCATATTTTTCCAACAGAAGGCAAGTTCGTTTTTGAGGCACCGACAGACGAGGCCAAGGAGTTTGTGAAGCGTGGTTCTGAATTGGCATGCTATGAGATGTTGAAGACAGGGACCACCGTATTCAATGATATGTACTTTCATGGAGACGCCACGGCCTCTGTTGCTCGGCAAGCCGGAATGAAGGCAGTTCTAACTCAGGCTGGCTTGCTGTATTTCGGGGATGATGCGGTGTTCACTGGATTGGTCAAGCAAAACGTGGACTTTTGTTCAGGACTTTTGGCATCCGGAGATTCGCACATCAGACCATCGCTTTTGCCTCACTCAGTGTATATGGTGCCAGAAGAGAAACTCAAGGAAGTGAAGGCAGCATATGACAATTGTGGAGGTCATGTGGTTATACATACTCATTTGCATGAGACCAAGAAGGAAATCGAAGATGTGGCAAAAACAGGAAAGTCTGCAATCGAAGTTTTAGACTCTGTGGGCCTGTTGAACTCTCGAACGGTTTGTGCACACTGTGTTCACATGACGGATGCTGAGATCGAAGTCATGGCTGCAAGAGGTGCCAATGTGGCACACTGTCCCAGAAGCAATCTGAAGTTGGGCTCTGGCATAGCTCCCGTTGCTGACATGTTGAAAGCAGGAGTGAATGTGTGCTTGGGAACTGATGGAGCATCTTCCAACAACACTCTGGACATGTTAACGGAGATGCTAAGCTGAGATATTTGTCCGATCACATTTTTACTCGCAGTCAGCTAATTACATAACCATTTCTTTTGTTTGGCAGTGAAGGTCACTGTATATAACTGTTTGCTTGACAGGCTGAACTTTCTTTACGTGTGCTCCCGCTGCTTCAGGATGCAGTATGCCTCGATGATTGCAAAAGGAAGCACTGGGGATCCAACAGTTTTGCCCGCCAAAGAAGTCCTGGAAATGGCGACGATCCGTGGTGCACGTGCTCTTGGTATGGAAAAGGAGACTGGGTCGCTCCAAGTTGGATCCCAAGCCTTAGCTGTTTGAACAATACGTTGAAACACCCGCTTTCACAGACAACGGCCAAACCACTCTGTGAATACTTGTACAATACCTGGTTCAATCAGGTTCTTAAACGAGAACATGCCATTTGGCAAAGCCCCAGACAACAGACAAGTCTTGCCCTTCCCCTAGTCTTGTTTGGCTTTGCTAATACAAAATGCATCACATGGCACATTGGGAATCAGGCGAACAAGCAATAAGCCCAAGTTAAACCCCAACAGCAAGTGAGGCAAAGTGGATGTTTCAGATTCGGCCGCCCTGCCCCACCCTTGAAAGCAGAAAACTCTTTTTTACCAAACTCGGAGGCATGTCAGTGTCAGGTGCCACTGCGTACCTTTCTCACAAGCATATTCGGCAAATTTAAGGGCAAAGCCATTGGGGTGCCCAGATTGGCTGGTACTCGCAAGGACTTCTGCGAACACCAAGCCCTTCTACCAACTTCTGCGAAGGCAAACAGGGTTAGCACGAACTTTTGGAGAATTGTGAAAGCTGACGGGGATACTCTGTGGGCTGGAGAATGCATGGACTGACTTAAGAGGACGGAGACACTTGACTCGGAACCTGTGCTTGGAACCTCGGAACCTTCGAAACCATCACCGGGAACAATTCACTTGGACCCTTAAACTTGGAACTTTTTGGACACTTGACACGGA